TTTGTAACCCACACTTCCCACTGATAACTGCTGCTGCTAACACCAGCATTTAAATGCCATGAGTAATTTTATTTTTATTTACTCTTATCTAAACATCAAAAAGCATAGCCTAAAATGTCATACATTATATATATCACTTTCATTAAGACTTGGGAGTGGGGACTTCTCTGGTAGTATAGTAGATAAGATCCTCCTGCCAATACAGGGAACACAGGTTCGATCCCTAACCCGGGAAGTTCCTACATGCCATGGAACAACTAAACTGGTGAGCCACAACTACTGAGCTCACATGCTGCAACTATAGAAGCCTGCCTGCCCTACAGTCTCTGCTCTGCAACAAGAGAAGCCATCACAATGAGAAGCCCACACACCACAATAAGAGAGTCGCCCCTGCTGGGAGCAACTGGAATAAGCCTGCACACAATAACAAAGACCCAGTGCAGCCAAAAATAAAATAATTTAAAAAAAGATTTGTGAGTACAATTTCTAAGATATGAGATGAAAACAAAAGATTATGAAAATGAGATGACGTCTACAAATCTCAAACTGGTATTGCCAATTTTTCTACCAAAACTGGTACTACAACCAAACCACTCACCTTGAATTCCAGTCAAAATTCTCCAGACCTTATAGACTGATTCCAAACATGGTATCCAAGTGTAATGGCATGTAAGCCACTCAGTGTGCATGAATGATGCATTTGGGGCCCACTCCATTCACATTCACTTTTTCTCTCTGGTTTCTTCCAGCATTAGTAATGATTATACCTACTTACTGTTCCCTATTCATTACATCTGCCACAAAATTTAATATCACACATAGGCTATAAAAATAAAACTTTGTGTTGGTTGCCAATACAGTCATCTTCTCAGCCCTTTATTAGGAAGTCATAATACTAAAGAATCCCAACCAGCTGGAACAATAATGGAACAGACTGTGTAGTGCCTAACACTTGACTATTCAAAGAACAAATACTAATCTTTACATTAATCGTTAATTAATCTTTACTTACTATGAAGACCACTAGGATTTCAGTCCTCCTCCTAAAAATTCTCCAAAGAGTACCTGCTGCTAAGTCACTTCAGTTGTGTCCGACTCTGTGTGATCCCACAGACGGCAGACCACCAGGCTCCCCCGTCCCTGGGATTCTCCAGGCAAGAACACTGGAGTGGGTTGCCATTTCCTTCTCCAATGTGTGAAAGTGAAGTCGCTCAGTCGTGTCCGACTCTTAGCGACCCCATGGACCGCAGCCTACCAGGCTCCCATCCATGGGATTTTCCAGGCAAGAGTACTGGAGTGGGGTGCCATTGCCTTCTCCAAAGAGTACCTACCCAGGGATAAAGAAGTGGTTCCACAAATCTGAAATAAGCCATGGCAGTAAATAAAGCTTTTATCACTCAGTTTTCCATAGTGCATTTTTTTAGTGGATTTAAAAAGTAACACCTTTACTCCAGAAATTTTGGAGAATCCATCAAGAAAACACCTACAAACCCAACCACTGATAATTTCATTAACATTTTGGGGTTTACTTTTTATTCCTTTTTCTATGCTTCCCATACCACCTTCTCCCCACCCCTGCAAAAAAAAAATTACTATCAGATCATCTATGTTGATTTGTAAACTGCTGGGATCCTTTTTTGATGTTTTTCTTAATTTATTATGTCATAAGGTTTTTCTCCATGTCATTAGCACATGACTTTTAATGGCTATACAGTATTTTATCTCATGGAGGGATCATGATGTAAAGTACCATTAAGGCAAGTCCAACAAAGTACTTTTAAGATGTATGAGTACTATGCATTTACAATTTGGTTGTAAATGCTTAAAAAAGAAAACCAAAAAGCCCCAGCTGGTCTTTAAGGTTTTCCAAGGTAGTTTATCTTATCATGTATCAAGCTTTTTGGAAATCACAACTGCCACAATACCTAGCATACAAAAAGATGATTTCTAATGGACAAAGACATCTGATTTCATGAAACTTACATTCTTGAAAAAAGACACATGCTTATAGGTGTATGCTTATGATATACAATGGCACCTGAAATTTAATAAATATTCAGTAATAGATGCTTTCTTTCAAATTAAAAAGAAACTATTAAACTGCTCTACTAGGTCCAAATTTAAAAGGTGAGGTTTGAAAACTAAGCAAAGGTTAGCATTTCCAAGTACAAAATTATTTATGTAAACCTATTCATAAGACTCCTAACATAGTGAATAACATATAACTAAGATTACTGATACAGCTTTTAAAAGCTCCCACTCATATTTCATCAGCTGGTGACTGATGCACTCTACCTACTATGTGCAAAGTTAGTTTCACAACATGAGCCCAGTCAGCATCTTCCTTCCAAACATCAGTCTCACATCAACAGGAAGAGATAAATAATCAAGGTGGCAAACTGGATTCATTTTAGGATATATTTTCTCTATTGATTAATATCTCACCAAAAGTCAATAGATCAGGATTCTGTTTCTTTCTCTTTTTTTGGATTCTGTTTCCAATACTTCTGATGAAGAATGATTGGAAAGCTGAATGCTCCAGTTAACCAAATATTCTGCTTTATTAAATATACGCACACTATCAACAATTTTAAGTAAAAATTGCACAGGTCCCTTGGCATTCATATGAACAATTATGTCTGTGCACTAAATTTCATTAGCCACAAGATATATGTTAGAAATGGCCTACAGAAAAAAAAATCTTGACACATTGTTTATTTTTATGAAACAGACAAGAAAAGGTGAAGAGAAATAATTTCAGCTATTTGGGCTTCCTGATTGCCTAGACTGAGGGAAAAAAATGATCAAAAAGTAGATTAGAAAACATTGTTTTATTTATCCTATAAGGCAACGGGTTCTCATAGTGTAGTCCCTGGATGAGCATCATCCATTACCTGGGAAGTTGTTAGAAATACAAATTCTGGGGTCCCACCTCACATCCACTGAATCAGAAACCCTGGGAGTAGAGCCCAGCAATCTGTGTTTTAAGAAGCCTAAGATTCTGATGCTGCTTAAGTCTGAGAAACATGTTACAGATGGTCAGAAGATATTAAAACTTGTTCCCTGAGAATAGCCACTATCACCAAAAGGGACTGAAACATGATTTGCTCCCCTGCTCATGTGAGCTCCTCCTGTCTTGGTCTTATGATCAAGGATTTTTCAAAGCTATCCCTGACCTAGGAGTTCTTTCAGTCCCAGCTAAATTAGAACACAGAAAGTCCTGCGAGTGGGAAACAAAATGCAAAGAGTTCTCTTCTGGCTACTGTTTATAACCTGTTCTAAAAGTCAGGGGATGGGCCTTCAATGACAAATGAACGATTTCAGTTTAGAATGGGCTGTGTCACCATGCATCCTGCAGTCCCCCTGGGAGAAAAGAGTCTTCTGTCACAGAAAAATAGACCAGAAAACAAGAGCTCTGCCAACGCCAACATTAACAAGTACTGGAATACAGATTTTACTCACCTGAAGATGACAGCTAACATAAAGCCTGCCTCAAGTGGGAGATTACACTTGGTCCCTAGTTTCCAAGATTCTTTATTGCCCTTTCCCCTTCTCCTATATCTAAGTTAACAGATAGAATGTAAACATTACTCTTCAGTTAAGCTATTGGTTAATATTATAGCAATTCCTGTAAGTTTTTTTCTTAAAGGATTCAGATTTCCCATGGCTTCTGTGATGTTAAGGACATCTATGATTATAGGATAAAGGTACCATTCCAATTGCCAGAAGAATATTGTTAAGTGCAGGCCAGTTAGATTTATCTGACTTGATTAATTACTGAGGCTTCCCCAGTCATAACCAGTTCCTCCAGTGAAATAGTCATTATATCTGGAGGCAGAAATTACACTAGAGAAGACAGAAAAAATATTTTTGTGTTATGGAAGCAAAACAAGCATCACACTGGATGTTATCTATGTTCAATAATTAAGCATTAACCACAGACAAACTTGTTTATCTGTATCTGTTACAATCATTCCTGGAACTGAACTGGTTGAATTTGACCTGATCATTTTCCATAATTTCTCATCCTTCCTAAAAATTTTGCCCTGAAGCAAGTGTCAAAAAAAAAAACAAAACACCTCTCAGTCTATCAAAGGAATGATTAGTCTAGTATAGGGCCGATTTGAAGGTTCTGAAGGACAGTGGTCCAAGCAGTCTGTTTAAAAAAAAAAAATGCGTTGGAACCATACTGCAGTCTCCATTGAATGCAAAGAGCTTTCAAAGAGGCCTGTTCAGAACAGGCACTAGGTTCTAAGAAAGGGGAGCGGGGCGGGGAGGGGGGGGAACAAACACACCTAAAACCTCACTCAGAAGCCAAATGTTAATCCTACTGATCACATTTAAGGTGAAATGAGGGCAATCTGCTTTTACAGTACATATAACCATTTCTTTGTTTGCGTCCAGAGACATTATGCGCAAATCTACAAGCAAGGCGGACCCTGCGGCTGAGAGACCTCATACAAACCGCCTCCCCAGGAGAAGACAGTAAAACCCAGCTAGTGGGCTGCTATTTAATCTAACGGGAATGGAAAGAGAGAACGCTCAAGAGACTAGGATTAGAACCGCAGAGCCCCTCTTCTCTCCCCCCATAGACCCCGGAGCCCCGACTGTCGAATATTCTCTGCGGATACCGCATCCCTGGAAGGTCCTACGCAGGTCCGAGGTTCTGCTAGTCGTCATTTCCCACGCCCTCCAAAACACCATCACAATGACCACCTCTCGGCAATCCTCTCCCAGGCGCTGCTTCATCTCCATCCCTGGTCCTGGAGAGGCCTCTCCCGCGATCCCCGCACCTTTCTAGCTGTTATGTCATCCCCAGCCACCTCGCTCCGCCAACCGCCTCCCCGCCCGCCCCGGGCCAACAGTGGAGTCCTCCAGCACCTCCAAATCTCCAGTCTCTAAGCACTCATCCATACTCGACCCCCCCTTCCCTATCCCGACCCTCTTCACTGATCCCCACCCCACCCGGGTCCCCAGCCCGACCCTCACACCTTACTCACCTGCAGCCCAAGAAAACGTGGTTGGTCCAGGCAGCGGAGAGCGCGAGGAGCTGGTCTAGGGCAGCTCCGGGATAACTGTGCAGGTGCCGACAGATGAAGCTGCGCCGCAGAGCCCACTGCCAGTCACTTTCGTGGCTATAGCGCCACTGCTCCAGCACTGGCTCGGGCGGGGGCGGCGGGAGGGGCGGCGGCGGCGGCGGCGGGAGAGGGGGTAGCGGCGGCGGCGACAGGAAGTCGCCCCCCAACAGCAGACGTCCACCAGCCATCTTCTCCGCCCCCAAGCAGGGACCCCAGGGATGATGCCTACTCCCGATCAGGAGCAAGCGGGAACGGGGGGTTGGTGGGAGGGACCGGGTGAGGAGGGGCGCGCCGGGGGCGCGAAGACCAACTCTCGGGGGACTGGAGTGTGTACGTGGGGGGGGGGGGCGCGACCGTTAAAAAGGGAAAGGCGACCACAAGCTCCCGTCCCGGCAACCCGGGTACACGCCCGCTGCACTCCTGCAACTCGTGGAGGAGCACGAGAGCACCCGGCACAGTCACACGCGCGCCGGGGAGATCGAGCCAGGCCCAGCGCTCCGCACCTCCGGCGATCCTCAGATTCACGCACTGCGCGGGGGAAAAAAAAAAAAAAAAAGACACCTGCACGCTCTGCTCCCCCTTTTCTGAGTTCTAGTCTACCTACCCGCGTGCCGCCCTGAGGTTGTGAGGCCAGTGCGCGTGCGCCGCGACTGTTCCCTAACTTCAAAATCCCGTTGCTGAGTCTCGCGCGACGTACATTTTTTTTCCTCTATTATGACGAATAGGAGTCTTTGACGTACTGTGGTCACAAGCGTGGGGCGGGGCTCCGGGAAGGGGATTTTTGAAAGATTTTTCTGAGGTTTGGAAACATGGTTTCGTTAACTCCCTAGAAGGCTCTCTCAGGTGTCTGTTGGCAGCAGTAGGTCGCCTGACGCTTTTCCCTGGGTTTGACAGTGGGAGGGACTTGGGTTTGAAATGGATATCACACTTTTTTTTTTCTTAATGTAAGCTCTCTGAGGCGCCCTTTCTTCAGAGGATAGCTTGAAAAGCTATTTGTGTGTCGTGCACCATTAGCTCTGTTTTATTGTGAAGTAGTAGTAAAAACAAAATACTTAAGAAAAAATCATCCAAACCCACTTATCATCCATACTCCATCCCAATTGCTGACAAATACAGGCATCCTGTTCACACAGTTCTGATCACGGTTTCAAATAATCCTGTATTAACTGTATCAATTTAGAACGTGCAGAATATTATAAAATACAAAAGGGGCCCCCAAACTCAAAGCTGCACAGCATCAAATGGCTCACTCTGTAGGCAAATGTTTTCACTAGACCCGCGGTCTGCTCCAGCCCCTCAATCACTGCCGTCTGTGCTATGGAAGTAGTTAATGAGTGTCAGCGGGAGTTTATTTATCTATTTTATATAAGGCTGAGATTTATATCTTTTATGTAAACAATTTTATGTATTTATTAATTTGGCTGCACTGGGTCTTCCTTGGGGCATCCAGGCTATGTCTAGTTGTGGTATCTTAGTTGAGGACCAGGAATCGAACCGGGCTTCGCTGCATTGGAATGCAGATTCTTAACCGCTGGACCATGAGGAAAGCCCCCGGTGGGTAGGAATTTACACAGCACTTACTGTGTGCTCAGTATAGTCAATACAAAGGAAAAAGAAGCTGGGTTTTCTCTGTTGTCCTGGAACTAATTATCGTGTTGGTGTGGAAAAATAGTCCCACCTAGAACTCAATGTTCCATAGCAGGAGGACTGTTGGATGAAGTGACTTTTACCGGTTGTCCCCCTTTAACTGTTTTATGATGTATTATTTATCATTGTTGCTGCTGCTGCTGCTGCTGCTAAGTCGCTTCAGTCGTGTCCGACTCTGTGTGACCCCATAGATGGCAGCCCACCAGGGCTCCTCTGTCCATGGGATTTTCCAGGCAAGAGTACTGGAGTGGGGTGCCATTGCCTTCTCCAGTATTTATCATTATGTGACACATTTATATGTAGGGCTGTTTTGGACTGAGAAGAGCAGAAGATCACAGCATTTTTCGCTTTAATAATGATTTATTTTCATGCCTGTCTCCCCCATTACACAGGGAGTGCTGTCTTTGACTCTGTGGTAGGTACTCATGTTTATTGAAGTAATGACAGTCTTTGAACCATCAAATCAAAGAACATGATACTAGAAAGGAAGCTTTGAGATCATAAATTCAAATCATTATTGTATGAGTGAGAAAAATAAGACCAGAGAGGTAGAGTGATAACTGAAGTCTGTAGAGGCAGGTTCTGGCAAAGCTGAGATCAGAATCTAGGTCACCTGACTTCTCATCCAGTGCTCCCCACTCATTTGCCATTATATTGCCCTGGTTTTTTTTTTATTCTTCACAGTATGTACCATCTTTTGAACTTCAAAAATTCTTTTAACTCCTCCTCACCTCCTGTGACAGTGCTATGAGAGCAAGGAACTCATCTATCTTGCTTTTAGCACCCACATTTGGCTACTGTAAGAACTCCATAGATACTTGTTGAATTAAATGAATGATTGAATGAATGAAGGCTCTTCCTGTTGTCCCAAATTTGTGAAACTCATTTTCTTAGGGCCTACATTTTAAGCTGATTTTAAGTTAGATTAATTTCCGCCTAAGCTGCCAACTTTCTTCAGAATCAGCATTGCAATCAATACACATCTTTCTTAGAAAAGGAGTTGAGAAAAGAAAAATGCCTTCCTCTAAGATTGGATGAAAATTCTTCCATCATTTAGGAACAAATAATTCCAACCTGATGTTTGAATTTGAATTACAGAGTGAAAGGAGATGAAATTGATGTTAGAGGCCATTTGCTCTGGAACAGCCATAGCTGGAGTGCATTTGTAAATCCTGCTATGGAATAAGCAGTTTCATCTCTAGGAAGCAAAACAAAAATTCCCATGATTCTCCAGGACCTTCTTTCCTTGGTAATCCTTCTGATCAAAAAATCCTTCAGCCAACCTAGCTCAGTCACACACCACAGATGTTTTCTCACTGACCAGGAATTGAAACCCCTAAGCAGAAGTAAATTATCTGAATAATGGTTGAAGAGAAGTGGAGGAGGGAAGTCTGATAATGGCAACCACTGCCATCCTAAAACAATCCAGAAACCTCATGTAATCACCTCCATCATCTTTGCTCTAACACAGGCTCCCACCACTGTTTTTACATGAAACACAGACACACACTCATATACACATAGTCTGTCAGCTCTGAGCTTCCTTCCCTTCCCTTTCCTGTGGGGGAGCCAGTGAGTGAAGAAAAGAGAGAAACCTGGAACCTGGCTCAGCACCACCCTCATAAACTATCCCAGAAATCAGATCACCAAAAGTTCTTGACCAGAGTATTCTGCACTGCAATATCCTCTTGAGGAATGGCTACTAATGGACTATAAGCAATAGCTAGGAGCTGGCCAAAGCCTGGTAATTTGCACACCCAAATTATTAAGGACAGTAACGAGCCATTGAAAAAATAGGAAGCCATAAGTCCACAGTGAGACCAAGTAGATAAATAATGAGGGAAAGGGGAGGGCCTTTGCTTATGATAGAATACCATGTGCTGACTGGTAAATATGAAGGGAATGCTGGAGTCAGAAAATCATCATTGGTTCAGGCAAGAATTACCAGTAGATGCTAAATCTAGGGGGAATTTTTTGATGAGGAGGATTTTGCATGGACTTACAGTTTTCTCTTCACAGATTGTTTATTAGTAGCAAAGAAGAGGGAAAACAATAATTATATAGTGGAGAAATTGGGCAACATCTTGACCCAAAATGACAACAATCTTTTTTTTTTTTTTAATGGTACTTCAAAAATATCAGTATCATGAAAAACAAAGAAAGTCTGTTTCAGATTAAAGGATGCTAAAGTAACAGGACACAGTGCATGATTCTAGAGCCAATCTTATATGGCAGGAAAGATTGGTATAAAGTATACTATTCAATGGGCTTCCCAGGTGGCTCAGTGGGTAAAGAATCCATCTGCAATGCAGGAGTCACAGGAGCCTCAGGTTCCATCCCTGGGTAGGGAAGATCCCCTGAAGGAGGGCATGGCAAACCACTTCAGTATTCTTGCCTGGAGAATCTCATGAACAGAGGAGCCTGGCAAGTTACAGTCAACGAGGTCACAGAGTTGGACACAACTGAAGTGACTGAGCACGCACACATACTATTCAATAGGTTAAAATAGTGTAACAAGGTTAAATTTACTGAAGTTGGTAACTGTGGCTATGTAAGAGAATATCCTTATTGCTAGGAAATACCCATTGAAATATTTAGGAGTAAAGGCCATGATACCTGTAAATTATCTTCAAATGGTTCAGAAAAAATGTTATGTATCTCTCTCTATCTATTTGGTTCCAGGGGAGGAGGGAAGGGGGCACCTCAGTGTAAATGATAAAGCAAATGGGGCAAAATATTATCAGTTGGTTCGTCTGGGTCAAGAGCATATGAGTGTACTATTATTGTTATTTAATTTCAAAATTAAATTGTCTCAAAAGTGCAATTGCTCCCTAAATTGGTCAAGAATTGCCATCTAGCTACCTCTTAATCGCTTTTTATTGTGTGTCCAGCACTTTCCTGGGCCCACTGGGAAGCTGTAAATGATGTTCCTACCTTAAGGAAGCTTAACATCTCTTGAGAATGAAGTCTCTCAAATGAGAAGCAGATAAGATAAACAATTTCAGCAGGAGGTTTTTGAAAAGGAAGAAGAGATCAAAACAGGTGGATGGGGTCAAGAAAGGCTTCAAGGAGAAGATAGGCCTGAACCTCAATGGCAGGATTTTTTTAACTTTTAATTTTGTATTGGGATATAGTCGATTAACAATGTTGTGATAGTTTCAGATGAACATCGAGGGGACTCAGCTGAGTTGGGGCTTTTCAAACACAAAAGGACACTGCTTAACTTCAGTTGCTTACAACTGGAGCCCAGGTTGCTTAGCCATTTTGAAGGTATTAGAAGCCTGGTTCTGTACCTAGAGGCAGTTGGCCTTCTCACTGCTCAGCAAGTCCCTAGGAACTGGCTCTCAGCACCCCAGCAGACCCTTGCCCCCATCTATGCTCTAGCAAAATGATATACAAATTTTAGTTAACCAAGCCATTTTCCCACTAACTTGCATTAAAATATCA